CTACGCTACAGATACGCTACAGAGAGAACCAACAAATGAATACCAAGATCGAACAATCAATTCTTTAGTCGCGCCATTGACTACCGCAGCTCCTATTACTGCTTTATTATAATATTGATTCTGACTTAGGATTGATAGATTACGTAGTAAATTATTGTATAAAAATGAAACACAGAATTTGTTAAATAAAAAGAAATGAATAACTGTACAAATTCAAGTAGTATTTGATTTTAGTTGAGTAAACATTTAACTGTGATGTGATGGTTCTTAATTGAGTTAAATTTAATCAAGTGTGACGTGATGTGTCTGCAGCATTTTGGTGTCATTAATTGTAGACTCAGCAACAAGTTCATTATTGTCATAGATTTGTACATTTGGAATATATGTCTCTAATTTAATATAATTGGGTAAGTTCCAACACATTGAAAAGTGCATTTTGGATCAGTTTGCTACTCGCGATATTATAATACCGGCTACATATTTATACAGAATTTATAATTTAACTTTAATGTTATGTATTATACACCTAGACTGCTTCAATTCATCTTGTGTACAGGTGACACATAGATAAAAAAATTCATCCCAACTTTTACCCGGACGCAATTGTTGAGGATTTTTTGATAAAATTTAAATATGAGGTAAAGCCTGAGAGTTTATGTAATAAAAGAAGACGGATTCTCCGCCCTTATCAGAAAGGATTTGGACAGGTGACAAATGAGGTAGGCGCGTAGATTACACATATAATCTAGAATTTATAAAAAGTTTGTGAGCGGTTATAATAAATCTTAGTTCTTTTTCGTCTAGTGGGAAATAAGTATCCAGGAATTTTTTCGTCAAAATGTTTATACTTAAAGCAAAAAAAAAATAAAAAGTTAATTAATCGCCAAAAGGATCCGTTAATTGTTATTTGTTATGAAAATACTTTTACCTAATCAAAAATTTCAATCTGAAAAGAGCAAACAATCGAAGCAACCCTGGAATGATCCCTTTGGGGCAAGGATTTATTTAATTAATTTTCATTTTTTCCACATGGGCCAAAATATCCAAAAAAAATCCAGTATGCCGTTAACGAGGCCAAGGCAAATGCACGATTGCGTATTAAGAAGGATGGAATACGATCAGGACCAAAAAATAATTTGAACTTCAACCTTTTCACTGATGATAGGATCTGGCCTTCCGAAATAGTTAGAACTTAATGTTAAAAGGAGAAGGGGTTTATTGTTATCCAATGGTTACACAGCCCCACAAAAAAAAGTATCGGATCTGGTATTCAGACCCATGTATTTCTATGTATTTTTTTCCGCTGAATCCGAATCTGCCTTCAGATTTGGCCCAACGGGTCTGAGTTTTCGGGAAAATTCAAAAAACGTCATTTGCGATCGTAAATGAGGTTTTTTGTGAATTTTGACCTGTTTTTTTAATCTTCCCAAAAACTCAGACCCGTTGCACCAAATCTGAAGGCAGATTCGGATTCAGCGGACAAAATACATAGAAATACATGGGTCTGAATACCAGATCCGATACTTTTTTTTGTGGGGCTGTGTAACCATTGGATAAAACATTCTCCTTCTCCTTTTAACATTAAGTTCTAACTATTTCGAAAGGCCAGGTCCTATCTTCAGTGAAAAGGTTGAAGTTCAAATTATTTTTTATCAATATCAAAAAATACATAGAAATACATGGGTCTGAATACCAGATCCGATACTTTTTTTTGTGGGTTTATCCAAAGAAATCCAAATTGCATCAAATTTCTTATGGATCGTAATTCTACATTCTGATTAATGACCTGGTGTCTTCTTCCATGAATATAGGACCAACATTTATTTTTTATTTGACTCTAAGCAAATTCTATTACAAACAAAATATTTTACAAAAGTTGACCAGTTCCTCTCAATGATGGTGTTCTACCAAACTGCTAATTCCGTAATACCTTTCTCCACTCTAGCAATACGTCGTAAGCAGATCCAACTGTGCGAATGAGAATATAGTTTGTGAAAACTTCAACCCCATTTGATTTCACATTAACGCTAATGGGACAGCAGTTATAGAAAACGCCAAGTTATGTCAACAAGTCAGAACGTGGGCTTAATGTATGCTCCAAATTTATTCCAATTAATAAACTTAAGCTCCAGGACAACCCACCGACGAAGTTTAATGCTCTCGACTCGGGATCGTTAGAATTAGGATTAATTTTTGGCTTTTCCCGGAGGATTCAATATGTGGAAAATTCATTTTCCCACTAACAACGGCTTTCCCCCCATGAGAAACAGTTTGTAATTATAATTAATGTTGAATGGTAAATTGGGACTTATTCTGTTAACTCTCAAAGCAGCAAAGAGTTAGATTAGGAACAGATGTACCGTGGAAATTTTACAAATATACGTGTGGATTATGCAAGAGGGTAAATGCAGCACACATGAAATTTAGTGTTGTAATTCAATTTGATGTGTTTTATTTAATATTTTGACCGCCATATGCCAACAGAAATCTTATTAACAGTGTACTCTGCTCGTCGTGTCATTAATGGTATTGATTTTTAAGGGAAGTGTATGGAAGCAGTTGTTTAAGTTTTAGTAGCGACGGTTTCAAATGGATTTTTTTAATGTTTGAGCTATACATGGATATACATTGTCATTTACACAACATTCTACCACCGCTTACATGTTTACATTTCTGTTTAGGGGAAAATGGTAAAAACGAAAGTACAAAGCCTCCTTCAATAGTTGTTTGGCTATTTTACTTAAATGGGTAACATTGTGAAATTTGGATATGTAGATATTTTGGAAAGTATTGCTGAAAAAAATAAAAAAAATATATGCCAAGAGTTTGTTATTCTGTACATGTTGAGTTACATTTAAAATGACATTTTTATAAAAAGTATTCGTATTAGTGTTATCTTTGGGCGTGTGATGAGATCAATAAAAAATTATCAACTCTAAAAGAGTCTCTTTCTTTGAATAAAAAGGATATTATTGTGGGTACGCATGCCTGCAACAGACCCATTGCACCATGTCCAGCCGCAGTTAAACGCCATGAGAAGACGCCATTCATTTTTAAAGACTTGGCAACAGCGATACAAGTTTTTGTGCGTGCGGACGGCGTTAAAACTCAACTACAGACTCCATATGATGGTCGGTTTAAAAGGGATCAAACGCGACGGCAAAATATTCACGGTGCTAGTGTCCATTTTAACTATTATCTACGTCGCGAGCGCCAGTCTGACGCTAGACCGGTCTAACCGTTGCAATGTGCGACGCGGGCAACCCACTATGGTTCCAGGAAAAGGACCATGGTAGATTGGCACCAGGGACTAGATACATATACCTGCGAGCGACTCCAACGAACGCTCGTCCCGACATCACTTCTTTTCACTACACTTTGTTTTCAATAAAAATACTTATTTTACGTTGAGAGAGAGTTTTATTTTGCTGCACATCGAAAGCAACCCTCATTATCTTTTTTCTTAGAAATATCATAGAGATTTAAAGAGATTTAAAAGTAGCAACATTAAACAGCTACTTATATACATCGTTAGCCCAAGTTTCATGAAAAAGTGTGTTTTTTTAATTTCATCACCCTGTATCTCGAAGAAGAAGTGTTCATATGAAACTTTTTGGCATGTTAAAAAAAGTTTTTTAAATAAAACATCTTAAATTATTGTCACCCAATTTGATGAATAACATGCCATTGTTACTCCCCAAATTGAAACTTCTAATTCGCATCCATACAAGTTTATCCAATTTTTACTGTCCCAAGCGGGTCGATACGTTACGTCCTACGGCCCGTTTCATTACAAAATCGATACTTTTTAATTCGCTTCCAATGTCTCCCACATTTTATCTTTCGCTTAGTTCACAAAAAAGCCCCTACATCCCCTCGGTCTATTTAAAACATACTGTACCAGACCGCATTTGTTAGCTCCCGATTGATCGTAAAACAACACAAATCATTCGGTCCCTTTTATTTTTATAGTAGATTACCAGCGCCAAAGTGTTGTGGCCGAATCCGGTTTTATTTTGTGTTTTGCCCCCCTTTAAAACATTTTAACATCCAGATGGAATTTGTCATGTCGCGGTATCTACCGGGTCTGACCCAGGGTGTGAAATATAGTGGAGGTTACTCAGATATTTAGATTTATTACAATATCTCTTCCCATTTTTCTAATGGTTCATACTCTGCTTTTTTAATGAATATTTATCTAACGGGTGATTCATTTAGAGGTACTTTTTTCAGTAGCGAGTTTAACAAAGATCACGCATGAGTCGAGTGAACTGTCATGGTATTTTGGTTCAGTACTGTCTGACATTTCATCATGGAAAGACTTAGCCCGGCACAACGTCTACAAATAATTCAGCTGTACTACGAGAATCAGCGTTCTGCCAGGAGTGTATTTCGCGCTCTTAGAGCGGAACATATGGTCTACATAATCGGCCCACCGAACGCACAATTCGCTACACCGTCGAGAAGTTTGAAACCCAATTTTCATTATTGGATAATACGCGACCAATAGACCGCATACAGCACGAAGTGCAGAAAATATTGCGGCGGTAGCCGAGAGTGTACGTGATGACCATAATGAATCAATTCGGCGCCGATCTCAACAGCTTGGCTTGTCGTATGCAACAACTTGGCGTATTTTACGTAAGGATCTTGGTATGAAAGCATACAAAATTCAACTCATTCAAGAATTGAAGCCGGCTGACCTTCTAAATCGTAACCGTTTCAGTCTATGGGCTCTTGAACAGCTTGAAGAAGATCCAATGTTTTCAACCAAAATTTTGTTCAGCGATGAGGCCCATTTCTGGCTTAATGGCTTTGTTAATAAACGAAATTGCCGTATTTGGGATGAAGAACAATCCGAAGAACTTCAAGAGCTGCCATTACATCCAGACAAAACAACGGTTTGGTGTGGTTTATGGGTTGGTGGAGTCATCGGTCCATATTTTTTTAAAAATGAGGCCGGCAGGAACGTAACTGTGAATGGCGCCCGTTATCGCGCCATGCTAACGGACTATTTGCTGCCTGAAATTGAAGCCCGTAATCTCGATGACATTTGGTTCCAACAAGACGGCGCCACTTGCCATACAGCCCGTGCAACCATGGCTTTATTGCGAGAACAATTCGATGAACAGTTAATTTCACGATTTGGACCAGTGAATTGGCCTCCTAGATCATGTGACATCACACCTCTAGACTTTTTCCTTTGGGGCTACGTGAAGTCCAAAGTCTATATGGATAAGCCGAATACGATTGAGGAATTGGAAGCCAACATTACTCGGGTCATTCGTCAAATTCCACTCGAAATGCTCGAACGTNATAGACAACGTTTAATTATTGATTTTAAACACCTATTAATAATTAAAAAGTATTCAAATTAATTTAAAATAAGTAAAAAGAAAGTAGACAGTGACAAAAATCAGTACTTATGATTTATAGATATATTTTTTTTAATTTTCAAAAATCAAAAAAAAATAGTAATTATGGAGGGCCCATGACCGGACCGGTCCTAAAAGTTGTTAAAAGAATAGTAGTTTGAAATAAAATATTTTCACAAAAATCGAAAGATACACTCACTTTCAAAAATACGATTTAAAATTTCAAACTCAAAAATCTTAATCAAAAACACTTTGAATATTTTTTTTGTATTTTTATCTGTAAAGGCCATCTAAAAACAAAGATTTTTATAAAAAAAAGCTTTAATTTGGACCATTATTAAGAAAGTTATGACCAAAAAACAAAAAAAGAGCGTTTTTTTTGAAAATTTTATAACTTTTGAACAAGTAATCAAAAAAATCTGAAAATTTGCCAGAAAGGATTTTTTGAGTGGTACTAAAAAATATAAAAAAATTTAAGGAAATCGAAAATTTAAATTTTTCGTACCGTCCGATTTGGCGTGGAATGCCCCATATATATAATGCACAAGCACATCCCTGGTTTTGGATAAATGTTAACACAAACTTTTATTCGAAAAATGTTTTGAAGAATCGCCATCTGTTGCTATTTTAGGTTATGTAAGAAATGCCCTGTATAAAAATTAGCGAGTTTAAATATAAATTTTTCAAGTAGTTTTTCAAAAGTTCGTAGAAAATTAAATAATTAAAATGATGGACATTATTAAGGGAAATTATATTGAACTTAACTAAAATATATTAAAATCTTCCAGTATTATAACAGGGTGTTGCAAAAAGGTGTTGTCAAACTTGAGGAGGTTGCGAAAGAAAATTTTTGTATACAAACCCCAAGAGGGAAATGAACCGTTTTGGCCCTGGAGGAAGTTTTGTCCAAAAACGTAATGTTATTATATTCACCCCAAAAGGCTTCGATATTTAAGTAATTTTTTTTAAGGATATCGCAAAAATAATAAATTTATAGTCGTTAAAAACGGCTTGTCGTAGGTCCTTTAGTTCGATGCAAAACCTCTTCTTCAATGACCACTGTCCGTGCAATTCATGGATGTCAACTTCCTACATCTGGTTTAAAGTTGCCTTTTTCTATTAACCGACGATGAATTGACGAAAATGTCATTCGGCAAGAATGTCGGCTATTCAGAGAGCGCTCAGCTTTGCATCTTGTTTCGCCATAAATAAGATGCATGTCTGCATACTCTTCAAACGTAAATAGGTCCATTTCAACAACTTAGAAGCAATATTTCGTCGCAAACAAAACAAATGTGAAACAAGTCAATTAGATCCGATCATCTGTTAAGTGACAGTTCTGTTCATTTGTTTCACTATTCTTCACAGCGGAACACAGATGAGATTGTGTAGCTAGATTATGCGTGCAATAGAGCTTTCATCACACAGTTATGGATAAAATCAGTTTTTACCAACATCGTGTGTAGGACATTCACTTATCAGAAGAGATAAACGTGTTTATTTTATTTCAAATCACTTTTTGCGTTGTCCTTAAAAAAAATTACTTAAATATCAGTCTTTTGGTGTCAACGAGATAACATTACGTTTTTTGACAAAAATTGACCCAGCACCAATACACAATATCCTCTAGATCCCCCTCAAGCTAGGCAACACCGTTTTGGAACTCCCTGTATCTCACTGCAAAACTGTAGAATTAGAGCGTTTTTCACAAATAAATAATATGTAACAGAAAAAACTGACACTGATAGGGAATTTTTCAAATATGAAGTTTCAATTGAAGGTTTGTAAGTAGGTACCTATTTAAAAAATGATTATTTTATTATTTTAATTCAAAATCTTTTCAAGCAAGTTACTGGTAAACTACCGAAAAATTATTTAAATATTTTAGAAATTTCTTTACTTCTAGGTAGTTCATATTTTTTAGTAATTTTATATATTAACAAAAATCTTTTTATTTTAGAAATATATAGTTTACAAAAGAATATATACAAAATCTTCATTTCATCATTCCTGCTAGTGTGCAACCGAAATGTAAAATTTGCCAGTACTTTAAGTACTTGGCTCAACTGTTTAATAAAACTTATGTTTTTCCTGAAACAGAAAGGCTCTTTAATATTTCCAAGAACTTGAACTTCTGAGAAACCACACTAGCTAATATCAGTAGTGAGCAAGTAAATGAAATTTGATTAAAAAAATCACACAGCTTCGCTAAATTGGACTGGACTTGACACAACATGTATGTAGTGTCTTAAAATTTAAAACGTTACAAAAACTAATTCGAAACAGTTTATTTTATATCGTACTAATGTATTTATAATTTATTTTTTCATTGTTTTACCTTCATAGAACGAAAAGCAAATAACATTTGATTAAGGCATACTTCATTTTGGGAACCTCCCATCAAATTGTGAGTCATTCACAATGAAACACTCGTATTTTTCGGCTATAAAAAGAAATATTAAAATGCTTGTTGCGGAAATAACTACAAACTACATATTTTGTAACATAAATATCGGAAAGCCCCAATCAAACCACAATTAAATATTTTTGTTTGGTTTCAGATGCCATTAGGAAGTTACTTGTCTATTCGGTGTGCTCTGGCGTTATTTTTCCTGCAAATTGCCACGTTCACAATGCTGCTGCCGACCTGCCCCCCGGAATGTATTTGCCTTTCGCAAACCCAGGTAAATCCACATAAAGATCTAGTACGTAGAGGTTGTGGAGTTGTGCTGACCAAGTTTCACAAACTCCGTTTCAGATGAAGTTTAATACTGTTGTTCCGCACAACTTTAGAATTTAATAATAGTTCTTGAGTTCATTTCGAAAATACGGTGCCTCCCTAAAATTGTATTTATGTTATAAATAGCGAACGACAGTCATAAATAAAAAGGAAATTATATCGATTCAAACTTTCAAATTTCTGACTCTTCTAGGTACTGAGAAAGAGTAGTAATTAATTTATTCACAACGTATGAAAGCTTTCAAAAGATCATTTGGATTTTACTTGAAGTCCTGAAAAAGTTTGGGAATTCCAATGGAAAAATCTAGTACTAGTGAACATTAAACATTTTACAACCCTTTCCATCGCAATTATTGATTTTATTAAACATGAAATAGATAAGTGTGAGTTCATATTACCAATGGGAATGTGTGTATGTATGTATGTCGGAGGGGTGGTGGAATTGTGTTCCACCACGACACTTAGGCCTTATTAGGCCCCTTGTACACCCTCCTTCATTACTCGAGTACTTTTCTTCAAACCATCTTATTTACTACACGGATGGCTTGGTGGCAAAGTCTCGTACAGTTTATGTATGATAGCATGGTCTTGAGTTACAGAGATTTCTTGCTCTGCTCTCATTACCATTTATCGGGGACCACACGCGTGAAGCAAATGTTGGGCGACTAAGGTCTCTTGGTAGGCTGTCACAGCCACGTCCCCGAGCCTCCCTTAGGTCACCCATCCAAATTCCAGCCCACGTCCGTGATGCTTGACTCGGCAGATCGAAATCCGCCGGCCAAGACACCCGGCTAGGCGGACCAATGGGAATATAAAAAGAAGTCTTCAACTCTTACGATCCTTTATTGTAAAATTACATATGACGACTAGTTTTGAGGTCCAAATTTACACCTCATCATCAGGTCATAAAAGGATATCACAATTACAAGGTAATAAATTTTGGAACAAATTCTAATCTTCAAAGGAACTTTAAACATCAAGATATATAATAAATTAGCCAAACGTGTAGGTATAATACATTCAACTCTCACAATTATTCATATTCACTCCCTTATCTTTGTTTCTTTTGTATTTTGAAAAAATGGTATGAGACCAAAGTATAGGAAATTTTCTTAAGATTTGTAGGTCAATGATCGAATATCAATAGCCAGAGGCCAACAATCAATGACCAGATGTTGCAACGTCAAAAACAAATAACTGTGGGTCATTAGTTAGAGGCAAAGAGTAAAGACGAATTTTCTGAGGCCAAAAATCAGTGACCATAACCCGAAAGTCGATAATCTCATATCAAAGGGTGAACAAAGGTCAATGCTATTGCAAAGATCAAATAGAAATAACCAATGGTCGAGGGCAATTATCAAAGATCAATGATAGTATGTCAAATGTTGATGACCAGAGGCCAAAAGTCTGTGACCAACAATACAGGATTTTTCAAAAGCCAAAGTTAGATAATAACCATAGATCAGTGGTTAGAGGCAAAGGTCAATGTTCGTAGACGTCAAAGGACAATGCCCAGAGTTCAAAAGTCAATGATAGGATAACAGAGGTTAAGGATCAGGAAGATCAGTGGGAAGGTCAGTGTTCAAAAGTCAAATACAAATAAACTTCCAAAGCAAAGATCAAATGTTAATAATCTGAGGCCAAAGGTCAATAACCGGATGGCAATACCACAAGATCAATAATTTTTCGAAATTTTAGGTAATGTAAAGTGAACCGAAGTATTTCAAGGTTTTCCATGTATTTCCTTTTTTATATTTTTGAGGTATTTTGACGAATTTGAAGGTTTTGGATGTATTACCACATTTTTCGATGTTTCTAAAGGTTTTCAAGGTATTTTGCTGTTTACCAGTAGTTTGAGGAAATTTTCTAGTATTTCGATAAAATTTCACAGAATTTTGAACTTGATTTCAAATTACTCCTGGAACAGGAGATTTTTTTGACATTTTCAAAAATGATCTAGTTTGATTTTCATTCGCCGTCCCTTCTATATGGCGCACGCATCTTTGCCCTGTGAGAAAGTAATACTTTTAATATATTTTATATTTCTTTATTAACAACTTTAAAGCTCATACTTCAATAATTGTTTTTATGAAATTACAGCACTTTGTTTACCGGTACATTACCCAAGTTATCGCGTCGGAAGTTCAGTATATGAACCCAATCTTTCAGTTTACTACTTCGGCCTTATAAAAGAGAGATAACCGGGGTTTATCAAACTTAAATTGATCGTTCGTCGCTTTATTAAATCTTTAAAAGCTAATTAAAAACCATAACCGTAACCGGGGAACACCTGAACTCCAATATTAGAGGTTGTATCTTTTTCGCGCCGTTAAAAAAGCCATTTCAAAGAAATGTTCCATTTCTGAGAACATCGGCTCTTGTATATAATTAAATAGAATTTTCTGCACGTTCGTTTCCAGTAGAGCAGCGGATCCGGTATCAAAAGGCATGAGCTGCGAGAAATTGGCTTTGATCTCGTTTTTATCGTAATTATTTGCGATTTAATGGATTGGCGTTATTAATGAGCGCATGAACAATGAATATGCTACAGTTTAGAGTCTTAATTGCATTTAACGAGCAGTAGGAACGATGTACTTTTCTTTTCTCGTCCATTGGAACAGTTAATTGCTACTATACAGGGTGTTTCTGAAATAATTTCCTTGAAAAGGATCATGGAGGGCACGAAAATAAGCAACATTTATTAAGCAACTGATGGTCTAAATCTAAAACATTACGTTTTAAATTGAAAAAAAAAATGTTCACATGAACGTTTATACAAATTTAAAGCCGTCCTTGGTGCAGCAGCCAGCTGTACCTTTGATATGGAAGTTGCCGCGCACAGCAGTACGAAAGTGCTAATGGCGGTTTTGGCGGCTTAAATTTTTTGTTCGAAAATGCTGAAATTTATTCGGCTGTCACTAAAAAGTAACACAAAATTAAACGAATAGACGAATTACTTACCAATAGACGATATGTTCTACAAAAATTGTTCAAAGTTGTTTTCCAAGTGCTAATAAACATGCTTCCAAACGACGGTCAAAATTCTATCACCAAAAACACTACACCACACGTTCACTGAGAACCGTTGCTGGAACCGAGATCTCTGTACACTGTGAGGATTTGCATTACATCAATAGTGAATATTGTGAAAATTTATTATGCCGTCTCTACTAAAACAATATTCGTCCGTGAAAAGCACCTTGCTTGTAAAATCCGGATCTTGCTCAATTTTTTGTCGAAATCATTGGTAAAATTACACACGGGACTGAAAATCATTGTTATTTAATGCCTGAACCCTGAATAGGGGTGTAATAATTGTTCCCGTAGTACATTCCACACGGTACTGTTAGATACACCCACTTCTCGACCAATATCGCGAGTACTGCGCCTCGGATCTTCCTCAACGAGGTTCCTAATGTTTTCTTCGTTGTGGAACACACTTTACAGCCTTCATATGTCAGGTAGACATTCCTGGTATCCCGTAACCTTTGAACTGCCTTTTGCATTATTCTACTGTTAGGTTACGGACCGTATAAAAAATGACAAGTTTCATTTGTACTGACGTTCTCCGTACCATATCTACTAGTTCTTGATCAGAAAACATTTTATGCGCTGGTTAAGTAATACTGCGGCATACAACGCACGTGCACAAGATGCGCAGGGTCGGTTTACATTTATGGTTATGATCAGTTGCTTAATAAAAGTTGCTATTTCGTGCTCTTTATCATCCATTTCAAGTAACGTACTTATTGCAGGAATACCCTGTATATCAGGTGAAAGAGTGATAATGAGTAATTTTAGTTAGTATGATTCGAACTTCATAATTATTAATACAATAAAATTGAACTGATACGTTAGGCTAGGTCAGGTTAGGGTTTTCTTTTTTAAAAATGTCGTAAAAATGATTATATTTCTGACCATTTCTTGCCCTTATCGCATAAGAAACACGCAGGCGTAAGTGAAAATGTTATCCATCCGCGAACGCTATTTTTCAAGAGAGGTTGGATATCGTTGAGTTGACACACGTACATTTAAACGTACAGANTTGATAATAATAAACTTAATATTAATGAACTATTTAATAAATAATGTTAATAAGAAAGCGAGTTATTCAAAACCAAACTATAGCTACTTTAAATTAAATGTTATATATTTTATTGGAATATAAATCATATACTCGATTAAATCAATTAGCTTAAATTTTTTTAATCATTGTCATGAAAAACAATTTGATAATTTAGTTAGGATATTAATTACAAAAACTTATGGTATAGAAAAACTAAACAATAGTAATGTCAGGTACATGTTTGGGAAAATCAATGAAAAACTACGTAATTCAATTATTTATATAAGTTGTAGGCGTAGAGTATATACTTCGAGTGAGTGCGAGAGAAACGCAGTATACGGAGGCGACCAAGAGCGGACGGGAATCACGGCACGCGCGCCTTATTAACAATAAAAAACAAGTCTTCAGAATAGAATATGCCGGCGTAACTCTTCGAATTTTTGTTAATGTTCAAAGATTATCTAAGAATTTTTTTGTTCAGGATACCTCAAAAAGCCTAAAAAAATGTATTTCGAGCGAAAAAATCGAGAATTACGAATTTGTTTAAAAAAAATTGTTTAAACAATTTTTGAATGAAATATGTCGGCATAACTCTTCGGATTTTTGTTAAGAGATGTTCAAAGATTATTTAAGAATTTTGGCAATACTAAAAATTGCAATTTTTAGTAGGTAAGGTAAGGTAAGGTAAAAAATATTTATTGTGCATAGTTATAAGACAATATACAACCTATACACAAAAGGACTAGACACAGATAACTGATAATTAGNCGCCGTTAAAAAAGCATTTCAAAGAAATGTTCCATTTCTGAGAGCATCGGCTCTTGTATATAATTAAATAGAATTTTCTGCACGTTCGTTTCCAGTAGAGCAGCGGATCC